TTACGCGTGTTTTTCTTTTTCTCTTTTTTTTCTCTCTCTCTCTCTCCCTCTCTCTCTCTCTCTCTCTTCCTCTTGGCTGTTGGATTTTGCGTAGGTTGAGAGGGGGTGAGTTCTGGCTTCTCTCTTCTGTTCCTCTTTCCGTGTTGGTGGATTTTCCTGTCGTGCCTCGAGCCTGATTCTTTGCTAGGTTTTTTGATTATTTTATGTTACTTTATCTTGCAATAATTAATAGATGCCTCGGCGCAGATTTTATTCTCATTTTTTGTGACGTTTGAAAGACGATTTTTTATTTGTAGTTTTCACGATTATTAATGGGTTTTCCTGGTCCTCGTTTCTCGTTTCTCGTTTCTCGTTCCTTGAAGTTTGAGCACAGCATTGAATTTGACGATGTAATAATAACAGCGATTTCTTTTTTTTACGGTGGACGTCCTTTTGGGAAGAATTTTAATGCAATTTCGTTTCTATGGATCACGAGACGAACGAGACAATTGAAGCTACAGAGTTCCCTAAAAATAATGGCGTGAATCAAAAACTTTCGCAATTTTCGTAAAAAGTGACAAAGGGCGCTCTCTAAATTACAGGGTTCCGGTCAGAACAAAGAGCCACGATTCAAAAACTTTCGCAATTCTCGCGGAATGTTGAAGGGGCGAATTATACTTAAAGCTCCTACGTTCTTTAAAGAAAAAAAATAAAAAACGCTAACATTATCGCACATTTTGTTGCAAAACGAATGATTAAACTTAAAGAAAAAAAAACAGAAAAGAAAAGATTCGAAAGTAATCTGTATTTTTATAAAATTTCGATCAATTGTAATAACAGACAAGAAAAAGAAAAGAAAAGAAGAAAAAATGGAAATTCCTGAAATAAAAAAAATTGTTATTTGAATTTTAAACACGTCAACATCCGTATTTCGTGTAATTGACAAAATATTCGTGTTTTATCTTCGATCACATCCAAGTCGGGTTATTATTAAAATAAAAAATACTAACGTTTAATCAAAAATAACAGTGACAGTGGTAGCTGTGAAATAAACGAAAGGGTTAAGGAAACTATTGGAATCAGTTTTCTTCGCTATAGGAATTACGGGAAATGCTATGCCGCGATAACATCCGCCGCGTGACAATGGGCGTTACGTGTTCCGGTGGATGGTGTGGCGATTTGCGGTGCGACTGGCAACACGCGGAAACACCCCCATTGTCCCAGAGAACCAACGATCGATAATCGACGTAATGCTCAGACTTGCCGCACGGTCAATTTTCTATTATTCGTCTTGTCGCAAATGTCTCAAAATTTCGCGTCCGCTTATGCTGGAATGACTTTTTTTGTCCCAAATTTGCAACATTTTTCTCAGTATATTTAAATGTAACCCAGGATTCAAAGATAACGAAAGAATCAAAGATAACGAGGAAGCTGACATAGCAGCCAAAGAAGCAACATCGCCCTCGTCGGATGTCATCCGAAGACGAATTCTTTATCAAGACCTTGTTGCAACATTACACCATGCCGAGAAACAATCATGGAACAAAATATGGAACACCTCCAAAGAAACAAAAACTCATAATATAACCCAAGATTTCTATCAAACAATACCTACCAACAACATGAAAAGAAAAGACAGAATAGTCATGACAAGGCTTAGAACAGGACACTGCAAACTCACGCATGAGTATCCATTAAAAAAAAAAAACAGAACCCCCAATGTGTATCCAATGCAACCGAATTTTATGAACCAATCATCTTCTATTTGAATGCAGCAAGTACCACGCTTAAAGGCAAAAATACAAAATAACTTCACCGGCAGCTAACTGACGTCGCAGAAACACGTAAGAAATGTCCTGAATTATCTAAAGGAAACTAACATCTACCATAAGATATAATCGTCTTGAAAAGAAGGAAATAGTACCTAGCCGTCGCTAATGAGCAGAAGGTAGATGCGACGTTAATCATAAATTGAAAAAAAAAAAAAAAAAGAAAATTGTAAAGGCAAACAAATGATAAGTTTATTACTGCTTAATAATTTCTATCCAGTGACGTCATACCGACGTGAGTTCAATAGAGAAAGAGAGCGACGAATTATTGTATACTCGGTTCGGTCACTCGTTATGGTCCGCGAACCAAGGTGTTAATTTAATTAAGAAAGTCACCCTTGAAACGTGCGTGATTTTGTAATCACTCTGTCCAAAATTTTGTGCAATCTTCTGCTTGAGATTTGAAGGGTCTAACGTCAAACAATTATCATCTGTCAGAATCGAAATTTTTGCGCTTCAAAATTTACAAGATTCAAGTTCAAATAGCGCGCAAAAATTTGACGAACGATTTTCAGTAGAACTATCTCGTTCTGTCCAAACCGTGTGAAATTTCAACGGTTTATTATTAAGGCAACAACGTCATCGATGAATTACTAGAAAAGGATTTTCATCGAACGAAAGGTTTGAAAGATCAGGCGTATTTGGCAGTCGTCAACTGGATGCTGAAACTGTCGTGCCAAAAAACGGGAATTTCACGGTGTGAAGGAAGCTGGAAATTATTCATCCATAAACAGGTTTACAGTTTTCTCCTCTGCCTCCGTCGTGTTCGAACAACCATGCAAAATATACCTAAGCGCCAGCTATCTTCACCGTGCACTTTAACAGCAGCTGGTATCAGCTACCCGCCAGAGGAAACGCGTGCCTCTTCCACTGAATATCGTTTGATTTAACGCGTAAATTTTATAATCGGCTGTGCTCGCATAAATCTATTTCTCAAACGCGTTCTCTCCCTCTTTCCTCGCGATTGTGAAGCAGCGAGAGAGCTGGAGAGCAAGAGAGAAAGAGAATATGTGTATGTGTGTGTGTGTTTTGAGTGTACAGGGTTTGGAACAGGGTGAAAGATGTCGGTGACAACCCTTCGCAGCGGCGGTGGATCGCGTTATAGAAATTTTCTGCACCGGGGACGTGCAGACTGAAGGATATTTCACGATCGATCGATTACGGAGGAGCGAGGAAAGGTGTCGTGTGTATGCACAAAGGGCTGGAAGAAAAGTCGGAGGGGAACCCTTGGCGTTCTGTCGTCGGGTCACTGAAAAATCTTCAAAGAAACTCTGGCAGCCAGAACCAACAGGCTAACAACAGCAGCTTGTATTAATAATCTGATCGATTGGGTGGTTTTTATCTCGTTCTCGTAGTCGGTCGAAGGTTGTGTTGATTAACCCTCTGCTAGTAGAATTTCGTTTCGCTCGCAAATTATGAAAAAACTGTCATCAGCCATTTGAAATTTAGAAACGGACAATTGTTACAGACAAGTTATCAAGTACTTTTACGAAGCATTTCGAAAGCAAACATTCCCTCTTGGCGTTAAATTTTATTCGTTGCGTTATAATAAATTCTTCGAAAGCATTTTCAACGGTTTCTCGGCTCGTAAGAAATCTAGGAAATCTAGACATTTGCCGAGTAAAAGGCTCGAACTATTGGTACTGAAAGATGGAGCGTTTCGTCCAATTTTCCCGCAGACGCGTGAAAATCGTTTTTACATCGTGCGCTAAATTGCCTAAACACGCTGAAAACGACTGAAGTAGTGCCGACGAAACCAAGGAACAAGCCAACAGTTCGTCGAAGGTATCCACGAATTTCCTAAGCGCGTTCTCCGCTTCTCGAAATCTAATATCTGACGTCTCTGTGGCAATTGCGGCGGAACGTGAGGAGAGCCGCGGAAATTGGCCGTTTACGGGGGAACGTCGTATTTAAATTCGTTTCTTCCGGTCCCTTATTCTTCCTCCTCCTCTTCTTCTTCTTCTCCATAAGAAGAAACGGGAGGGGGAGGTAGGGAGAACTGCGGATCTTTCGACAAGTCGCCGTGGCGGATTTGAAACGGGCCCGGGCTTCTTTATGCGATTGCGGAGACGCGAAAACGAAAGGCAAGAAATAAATACACAGACAGTTATTGCTCGTCGAGGTATGCCAGTCAGCGCAGCGTATTGTTGCCCCGACGCTGCTCTTCAAACCGGAAACCTCGTTTTTATTTCGACCCCACTTCCCCCCCGTCTCGAGATCGCGTTCTAAGGGTGTTTATCAGATCCTCTGTCACGTTTGTCTTCTCGATTTACTCCTCTTTTCTCTCTTTTCTCTCTCGATCATTCTCGAGACTTGTAACCCACCGTTTAACATGATATAATTCGGTATAATTAATCATGTTTAGCGGTTAACCAAGGTCTTTCAATCGCTTTGCTTTACAATTGTATTTTGTTTTGAACTTTCTTTGTTTTTTTTTTTTTTTTTTTTTTTTGGTGATCTTCGTTTTGCCTTGAGAAGTAATGTTTATTAATTTATTAGAAATAAATGTTGATAGAATTTGTGGTGGAACGTATTATTAGTAGGAACGTAGTATTCGTAGTTTAAACGTGTTTGTCTTCTCCGTTTACTCCTCTCTTTTCTCTCTCGATCATTCTCGAGGCTTGTAATTTACGTTCAAATAATAACTTGATAATTATCGAATTCAGCTTGATTATATTTTATTCTAGTCTTTCTTTCAAGGATCTTTGTTCCGTCTTGTCAAAACTGGGGACCAATTCTTATCATTTTCATCCAGAAAGGTATCGAAAGTGTCATTAGAAAGTTCAACATTCCCCAAAATACAGAAATACTCGCAGTTCGCAAGATTGATTACTAAATTCGATCAGTTACTACCAATTTCTCTTTCCACGAACCGAAGGTTACCGCAGTTGAACTAAACCACGTTCCAACCTTCACACTCTACTTTTTTTTTTTTTTTGGTCCGGATAATACTAATTCCTCTCCTCGATGTCTGGTGCCTCGCGCGCGGATACTTTCTCACGTTCTCAGTTCTCAGTTTTAACAGAGAGCCTCAACTTCCTCCTGAGAGGAACTCGAGAAGAACGCGAGAACGAATGAAACTCGCGAACGAGAGGGAATAAAATGAAAGACACGGATAAAGAGGCGAGGCGAGACAACTTTTGAGCCGCGTGTTTCGGACGACGTTTCGCTAAGATGATCCTGTTTACGTACCGGGTATCGATTTGCCGAGATCGAGATACTCGCGGACAGAGGGGCTGAGAAATCCAGGAGGGACGATCGGTGCCTCGTTCGTCGGATTGTTTCTTTCCTCCACGTCCTCGTAGTAGTAGTCCTCGTTGTCGCGGTTGTCCTCCGCGTCTGGGTCCACTGGCTTCGCCCTCTTTGACACTTTGCCACCACCGCTGTCCCGTACACCTACTGAAACATCGATTCAGCATACATAAAAAAGAAAGTTCCAACACTTGGAATAGTTAAAGTGAATAATATTAATATAATATAAATATATAATGTAATATAAAATAACAGTTAATAATAGTTAAAAGTGAATAATATTAATATAGTATAAATATATAATGTAATATAAAACAGTAGTTAATAGTTAAAGTGAATAATATTAATATAGTATGAATATATAATGTAATATAAAATAATAGTTAAAGTAAATAATATTAATATAATATAAATATATAATGTAATATAAAATAATAGCTAATAATAGTTAAAGTAAATAATATTAATATAGTATAAATATATAATGTAATATAAAATAACAGTTAATAATAGTTAAAGTAAATAATATTAATCTAGTATAAATATATAATGTAATATAAAACAATAATTAATAGTTAAAGTGAATAATATTAATATAGTATGAATATATAATGTAATATAAAATAATAGTTAATAGTAGTTAAAGTAAATAATATTAATATAGTATAAATATATAATGTAATATAAAACAATAATTAATAGTTAAAGTGAATAATATTAATATAGTATGAATATATAATGTAATATAAAATAATAGTTAATAGTAGTTAAAGTAAATAATATTAATATAGTATAAATATATAATGTAATATAAAACAATAATTAATAGTTAAAGTGAATAATATTAATATAGTATGAATATATAATGTAATATAAAATAATAGTTAATAATAGTTAAAGTGAATAATATTAATATAGTATAAATATATAATATAATATAAAACAATAGTTAATAATAGTTAAAGTAAATAATATTAATATAGTATAAATATATAATGTTATATACAACAATAGTTAAAGTGAATAATGTTAATATAGTATAAATATGTAATGTAATATAAAATAATAATTAATAATAGTTAAAGTAAATAATATTAATATAGTATAAATATATAATGTAATATAAAATAATAATATAATATAATATAAATAATAAAATAAATAATAGTTAAATATAATTAATTAATAATGAATAAAAATTGAAAGTTAAATTTGACTTTAATGTCTCTCGTATTTAATATCTCTGACTTTATTTCTTACCTGTGTCGCGTAATTTGATTTATTTCCCTGAAACGAAAGTTAATAAAACCTTTTATGGTTTGTCTAGTCTATAGGTGAAGGATTGTAGCTTCTATTTACACTGACAGATTGTTGTTTCATTCTTCGACCCGTGCACTTGATAAATTTCAAAATCTCAATTCTCGAAGAGAAACGAAGAATTTTATCCTACATTGTGAACTCGGTTTTTCATGTGGAAAACCACTTGTCGATTATTCCTGTCCGATCCAGGAATTAGCCAAACTCAAGCATACAAATAGATCATAGATCAAGCATAGAGATCAAATTATAAAACTTGAATGTAAATCACATTAAACTGATCATTAACCACTTGGCTACTAAACTACAGTGACTCACTTGTTTCTCAATCGTTTCTCAATGTTTTATGTTGTAATGATTTTTCAAATTTTTTACGAGACAATTTTTAACCCACTCGGTTTGTTTCGGTTTCAAAAGTTTAATTTAGTCAAAGTTTGTTCTAACGTAATCACGTGGTATAAAATACCGCCGGATATAAAATTCCACTGTTACACTTTTTTCCACACTTTGCAACACGATCCTTACAGAAGTATATCTTTGTTACATTTAAGCATAACCCAAGCAAAACAAGTAATAAATTCATCACTTCTCAGTAATCTTCTATCCACTGATATCGTACCGACGAGTTCGAAAAGAAAGCGATACAATTATTGTACACGGTTCGGTCACTCGTTATGGTCCGCAATCAGTTAGCCAGCGCAAGTTGGCTAAGTAAAGTACAGCAAAGCTCAACTTTATTCCCAGATCGTCTCAAATTGAAAAACCATCACCGCCAATGAATGACAGATTCAAACGAATTCAGCGAACAAGAACAAATTCAAATCGAGATGAAAATTTAGCTGCCACGTACAGGCGACGACTGAAGGGAACAGCAAGGATACAAGGAGAGTGTGAACGAGGCAAGTGTTTGTAAGACTGGCCGTACACGAATTAATCCGTTGCATTTAGACGCATAAAGTTGGGCTGGTCTATGAGCCGTTAATTAGCTTCCGCGTCACGGACGCATCGGCATCAAATGGGATGAACACGGGATTGTATCCACCTTTCCTCGCCAAGTAACACGTACACGACAATGCGCGCAAACAGTACACCATGCACCGAGAATTCCGACGATCAAGACGGAACGCTAGACGCGTGTACGTTTGGCCAGCTGTCGCTGGAAATTTCAAACACAAATCGAGACAATTAGCCGGCTGAAAATTATCATTATTATCGCGACCTCACGATCGCAACGATTTCCGACTCTCTTTTCGTGCATCGAATCGAGAACGTTTGCAGAAAAATCGAACTTTTTGAATTTTGGATGGAATAAGAATGTTACTTTATCTTGAATTTAATTTTTAGAGTAGCGCTCGTATTTAAAGCGCTAATCACAGTTGCAAACGAAAAATCCCACTCTGAATCGCGTATGACTGTATTTTCAAATATAGAACATTTTCCAGTAAAGAAGTGAAATGTTTCCAATTTTAGAACTCGTTCGGAGAATGAGAACGGAGGAGTTATTTGACAAAGAGTTTAACAGTATCCCACAATGATGATGATTCGCTGCGACAGCACTTATAAATATTACGAATATTGCTAGATACTTCTTAAAAATCGCCAGTCACACGCAAGCGATAGACAAGATATCATTTTTTTCGTGTAACAAAATCTCAAATATTTTCCACAATTTAAAGATACAAGAATGGATAAAACGAATGAAAGTACGTAGAATTATTTAATAGAACAAGCGAATTTATATCTGATATATATATATATATAAATTTCACAGTTATAACACATATATATATGTAACAAATTTCACAAATTACGAATCATTTGACCAACTTGTATATATCTATAATATGTATATATGTATATTGTATATCTTGTATATATCTAAAATTATAGAAAATTACCCACTAACTGAATCATCATCAGTTAACAAAATTATCGTGCGAAAGGGAGTTTTCACACGCTTGTGAACAACAAGTTCATATTGGAAGTCAACTTGCTAACCCGATCGATTCCAACACCAGAAGGTAGCCGGGCGTTTAATTTTCCTCCGATTATTAACTGGATGATGAATCGATCGTTCCACGGCGATTACAAGCTCTCGCGGGCCAACAGTGTACACGGGTAACCCTAACGATTTCGGAATTTTGAATATTTCAGTCGGGCGGGGGCGGCGAGTTCGCAATCACCAGGCTGTCCGAAAACATAACACAAAGCTGAAATTAATTAGCTGCAGACTTTCCGGAACCCGGTATTTCGCCTCTCAATAAAGTGGCGCGACCGGCCTCGTGAAATCATTCGCGCGTGCACGAATCTATCGTGAATAACGTAACAGTTGTTAGGTACGAACCGTTGTATTTCGCGTACCTGGCCGCAAAACTTTTGCCTGTACAAACCTGTTTCTCTCTCTCTCTCTCTCTCTCTCTCTCTCTCTCTCTCTCTCTCTCTCTCTCTCTCTCTCTCTCTGTTACCCTCTGAAGACTGTGTCAAGTCCACAGAGCTTTTATTAGAGGAATTTTTTTATTTTTTAGAAGAGTGTTTTGGATACTATAGTTCAGAGGATTGGTAATCGGTTTCGTTTGTTGTTGTTGTTGTTGTTCTCTTGCGAATTTTAAAATTTAGTTCAAATTGAGAATTTTTGATTTTCGAAGAAATGGTTAGTTTAATATGTTGCACAGTTCCTTGATTTTTAAATGGAACTTTGTTCAGAATTTGAGTGATTATCGAGAAACGCAGTGGTAGCAGATGAAGCAGAATTTATCACGTATGATTATTCAATATATGCATATTGTCGAGTTTTGTAGTTGTGTTTGTGTTTTTTTAAATCGCGTGAAACTCAATAAGGAGGACCATTCCGATGGAATTCACATTGTTTTATAAATTAAGAGAGAGTGATCAATGTTATTAATAATTTCGTAATTTGTAAAGTGTCTGTTGGGATGCTGTTGAAGCTTTTTTATGCAAATGAAAACCATCTTCTTGCAATATCGAGAGCTGAAATAAAATAAATTATCGCTACAAACTCTATACAAAGTTTGGTTTAAAACCAAACGCTAGACCGTAGGTAGCCTGGTTCTCTAAATTTGCAAATTTTTCACTACGCGAGTATCGCTCGTTAATCACCGGATATTGTAGATTCTAACACGGTATCTAAATATTACCTTTCGACACGTAACTGATTATGTTACTGGCCAACTCTGTAATCACTTTATCCTGTTCGCGCAGTTTACAAACTACATAGACTCCCTTCCGTCTACCCTTTGATACGTTCGTCCTGAAACATCATTTCGCAACTGCCCAATCGCCCTTCGTCAGCCAGCGAGGGGAAAGGAAAAAATACTCTCGGAATTAAAGTAAATTTTCAGTGAAATTGAGAAGTACACGTGAAACGAACTCGCGAAATTCACGACTCAATTGTAGCTTTGGTTTAAACTCGAAGAGATTTGATTATTAAACGAGCCTTCTTAGGATTCGAGAACTATTGTAAAGAACACAGTGATAATAAGATTATTATAAAAAAATACAGTATTGTGTACTAAGTCTTTAATCGACCTCAGTTGATTCGTTTGATTTTAAATTGGACCATTTCCAAAATATCGACTACTGTGGCTTGCGTTTATTTGAAAGAATATATATATAATTATTAAATATATTACATATCATATATTATATATTATACATTATTATTATATTATATATATGTATATTATTATATATATAATATAATTATTAAATATATTACATATCATATATATTATATATATTATACATATTTAATTTTATATATATATATTCAAATAATATATATACATATATATCTTCAATGAATCCAA